AGACAGATTTCTCGTGTTATTTTTCTTATTTTCTGTTGTCAATTTTCTCTATATTATGTGTCTTGACTTTTGCACTGTGTTTATCGTATGAAAACAAATTCCTTGTTTGTGTAAATCAACATGGCAATAAAACTTGCTCCCTGTGTAAATTTATGCTGAAAATATAAAGAAACTGTGTTTGATTTGTTTTTAATTGTTCACATGTGAATTAAATCCAAACCAGATTACGGTCTGAGATGCACCTTTTGCTGGATGCGATTTTACATCACATGAAGAAGAAGAAGCAGCAGCTCCAAGCAGTTCATCTCCAAATTTGTTTTTGCAAAAGCTTTTAGTCTAATTTCCAGTCCTAGATTTTTGTTGCATAACCCCGCTACTGCGAGACTGTTTGGTTTGCTCCAGGAATCAACAAAGGCCAGGATTCAAACCCACACTTTGGGCAACCGGCATCTTAATGCCACAGACAATCCCACCATGGTATTAAGCACCCATTCCACTGGAACCTTTTCTCTGGGTTCATTTAACCTTTTCATTTAGGTGTTGGACATTAACCTTTTCATTTAGGTGTCAACCTCAGAATCTTCAAGCAGCATTTCAACAGCCTGAGCTATTTCACCTCACGTGTCACTTGTGTTGAACGGAGCCTTTCACTCTTTCCATTGGACAGGCACCTTTAAAATTCACTTCGCTTTGATATGGATCGAACCTACAACCTCAAGAGCTCCAAGCAGCCCTCAAATAACCTAAGCTATCAGCCTTGCTATATACTTCTGCCCAACAGCAAATCCCTCAACAAGGACTGAGTCAGTAAAGCAACACTGCAACACACATATTATTGTTTGATTTCTACCTGTGTCCATGAGAAGCATACATTTATATCACTGAGCTACAGCTCAGCACCAATTGAAGGTGCTTAAAAATAAATTACTTATACAAGTACAAAATGTTGACTTTTCAGCTCAGGGTTTGGACTTGAACGTGGAACTTAGAAGAAAACTAAAATTTTCAACAAACAGTACAGACACCTGAGTGGAGGGTTAAAGTATCAGAAATCCACAAACTGTATCTACAGGGGATGGTTTTCAAGAGCACTGTAATGCAAATATATGTCCACAAGTAACTCACTAAAAAATTATTTCAGTGTTTTTTTTAATAGTACTACCAAAATACAGTAGTATTCATTCCATTCGTCCATCAGCCATCCTTTGAGTGGAGGAACTTGCGGCAATCCAAGTTGACACTGGGTGAGAGGCAGGGTGCACCTTGAACATCTGCCAGTCTATTGCAATCCTAAATACAGTATTCACTTTTTTTTTTTTTTTTTTTATCACCACAGGCATCTAGATGGAAACTGCTGAGGTGGAGAATGGCAATGATGTGTTCATGGCTTTAGTCAGACCATCATATACTTGGAGTGGCTCAATAACATCCCCAGACATTTTCTGCACCATTTTAATGATTTATGCCAAAAAAAGACAAAAGAATCAATTTCTTCATTGTCTTACATCAAAATCTAATCATGTTGTCATCCTGTAAAACAAAACATGACATACTTACATAAGCTAGTACCAACCAATAATATCACAACATCCACCAATCAATCAGTCTGCAACTTGTAGCCACACAGAGATAGTTAGCTAGCTAGTAAAAGAGAACCACAAGCTGAGTGCCATCTAGTTCCATTGTATTTGAGAGACCGCAGACATCTCTAAGGCCACTTTCTCCAACCCTCAACAACCCACACCAAAACTATCTAGACTGATAAATAGCACTACAGGGAAGAGGAAAAATATGTGCTTTTGATTTTGGGGTGAACTGTCCCTTTTAAGTTTTTGCTAGAGTGCTGTCTGTGTCTCCTTCTGGCTAAGAAAGAAGTGTTAACAAAAGGATTGCTATTCCTTGTCAGCATGAAACACCATGCTTGCCAAAGTAACTGGGAAGGTCGACTGCCATGAAGAGAGAAGACTCGACCAGGTGCTCAGGACCAGTTCAAGCTGAGTAGGCCTGTGGAGGTAGGCCTGTTCCCTTTTCCTAAATCCAACAGCTAGTGCAAGGTTGTAATTATGTGTGGTCAGCTGCCTGAAAATCCACATCATCACACAAGATTTATCTGGTCACCGAAAAAAAAAAATATTTATAATTATTTTACAAAAAATATTGTCTTCCAAATGATGAACTAAATGCTGTTTCAAGACTTTCCCACAGTGCTAAAAAATCTACAACCATATTGGAATAAGCTTTTGAATACACACTATGTGTGATTTGTGAGTAGCTGCAGGATGTTAACATCTTAATGGAAAGAGTTAAAACACTTTGGGGTTACGGCCCTGTCAATAATACAACAACATAACAACAGTTATGGTCAGCAAATACACATATTTGGGTTACAGGTGTGATAGAATGTGAAAAAAATGATGTCAAATATGTCCTAGCTTCACCTCTCTGAGTCTGTGGTTGGTGTTAGGCACTCCTGTTTACTGGGAGACTTAAAGTTAGGGAATAAATGAACAACACAATGTCCCCTTTAAAGAGGTTTTTTACGTCCACTGCAATGAGTCACTGTTCCTGATACATTTGCTCCCTCTAGTGGTTAAAACACTAAACACAAACCCTGTTGGATTATTATTGGATTTAAGGCCTCAACACTGCAGAGCAAGGGATGGTCAGGAGAAACATTTAAATAAGGTTACAGAGTAATATGAATGCATTTTGCAGTTCAGGTTTTTTAGAATTTGAACCCTAAAATCTATCATCTTGAATCTTCTCTGACTCTTTGGCATGTTAAGACATCATGAAATACCATAATATAATATCGGAGACAGAGATAGAGAAAGGCAAATGTCAGCAGAACATTACCTGACTGACAAACTTATTTACTGCTCTCAGAACAATCCAGGAAATCCAAGAAAATTGGACCTGCAAACCTGCCTTGTCGGCCACTTTCTACCTCTCAGTCAAAAATGTGTATATTCACAGATAACATACAGTTAAAGCTCAGTCTTTAATGTAGAGGTACTCTTAGGCCAACATTTGCAGTTGTGGTCAAAATACCTCAGAATGCAGTAGCTGATTGCCATGAAATTTAAATGAGCATTCAAATACTTTCCTCTGATGCTACTGCCAAGAAGACTCTTTAGTGTGGCTGCAGGCATTAAATCTTGTTTTCTTTAAGTTCAGGCCTAAGCTCTTAAAAATAAGGGTTCCATAAGAGTTCTTCCTGAAGGGCTGAAGTTCTACCAATCTAAATATGAAATAAATTGCATAAAAAATGCTGAAGCCCAAACACACCTCACTGCAACAGTGTGAAGTTGAACCATTGACCTTGCATGGTATGTGGACATGTTCTAACCAATCTGCAGCTGCCGTATTATGACAAAATTTCTCCATTCTGTTGTGCAGTAACTGCTGCTGCTTTATAACTTTTGTCTTTCTTGGTCTTCCACATGACAGACGAAGATAGCCTGCTATTAGCTCTGCAACTGAGCGTTCTTGTAGATTTGAGATCCACTGCACCATTCGATTAGCAAAGGGGACAAGCCAAAGAACCCTATGGTTCTAGTTAGCACCTTTATCTTTAAGAGTGTAGAAAAGTGATGTCTCATCTCATCTTACACACTCACCAGCCACATTATAATGTGCACCTTGCTAGTACCAGGTTGGACCCTTTTTGCCTTCAGAACTGCCTTCATTCTTTGCAGCATACATTCAACACGGTGCTGGAAACATTCCTCTGAGATTTTGGTCCATATTGACATGATAGCATCACACAGATGCTGCAGATTTGTCGGCTGCACATCCATGATACAAATCTCCCGTTCCACCACATCCCAAAGGTGCTCTATTTGACTGAGATCTGGTGACTGTGGAGGCCATTGGAGTACAGTGAACTCATTGCCATGTTCAAGAAACCGGTTTGAAATGATGTGAGCTTTGTGATATGGTGCGTTATCCTGCTGGAAGTAGCCATCAGAAGAAGGGTACACTGTGGTCATAATGGGATGGACACAGTCAACAACAACTACTTAGGAAGGCTGTGGTGTTTAAACCATGCTCAGTTGGCACTAAGGGGCCCAAAGTGTGCCAGTAAAATATCTCCCACACCATAAAAGCCAGGATGGATCCATGCTTTCATGTTGTTTACACCAAATTTTGACCCTACCATCTGAATGTGAGCCTGTGTGAATTGTAGCCTCAGTTTCCTGTTCTTAGCTGACAGGAGTGGCATCTGGTGTGGTCTTCTGCTGCTGGAGCCCATCTGCTTCTTAGTTCAACATGTTGCTCGTTCAGAAGATGGTCCTCTGCATACCTTGGTTATAACAAGTAGTCATTTGAGTTATTGTTGCCTTTCTATCATCTTGAACTAGTCTGGCCATTCTCCTCTGACCACTGAATATTTGCTCTTTTTCGGACCATCCTCTGTAAACCCTAGAGATGGTTGTGTGTGAAAATCCCAGTAGATCAGCAGTTTCTGAAAAACTCAGACCAGCCCCTCTGGCACCAACAATCATGCCACATTCAAAGTCACTTCAATCACCTTTGGTCCCCATTTTGATGCTCGGTTTGAAATTCAGCAGGTCGTCTTGACCATGTCTACATGCCTAAATGCATTGAGTTGCTGCCATGTGATTAGCTACAGTATTTGCGTTTACAAGCAGTTGAACAGGTGTACCTAATTAAGTGGCCTTAGTGGTGGGTTTGAGGATCTCTGTTCCTTTTCCAGATATTAAGACTTAAAGAGAATCATATTTTGGGAGTTTACTACATTGACAGTTGTCTCAGCTGTCTATTGGGCATTATGATTACTGCCTGCTCACCCCACCTCAATTCCATTCAGGCTTCCTCACCTTTAACAAAAATTGAAAATTCTTTCTTTCACATGGAAGCAAGCAAACCCAGAGTTTTAATATTCATGCACAAACACCAACCGGATGATATCACCAATGTCCATGTTCTACAGGCTTTAGATACAGAACACGTAGAAAGCAAAAGCAAATTGGAGTATGAGTAGTTTATTTCTGACTTGAAAGGCAGGCTTTTAGGGGGAAATATCTGAAACAAACAACAATATTGCTTATCAGTGCTGATTAATCTCTTCGCCACAGATCCATTTTGTTTTAAGTAAACAACAGCAACACCCTGACAGTACAGCACAGTCTTGTGAAATCATGGAAATAAAAATGAATCATTTTTCACTCTTGTTTGTGACTGAAGTGTTGCAGAATTCAGGCTGTAAAAGCCTCCATCTGTAACCTCAGAGACAGAGTGGTACCTAATGCAGGCAAACTTGCAGGATGTGACTCCTTTATATTTCAGTACAGAACAGTGTGGAAAAGTCATTCAGTGAGTGAGCTCCCTCATTATGACCACTCATCATCGGCTTTATGTCAGAGTCTGATCATAAGTGAAAAACTCCACCCTGCATAAAAAGCCTGGAGGGTTTATATTTCTAAGAGCTGGAAGTCAAGTAAAGTTCAATGATGCAATCGCTAGTTGTTTTCAAATGATACACATTATTCTTTGCCCACACTTCAGCTCATATCCAGTCGGGACCTGCTGGCTTCAGCATTTGGCAGTTGAGTGAGCGCTCTAAGTGAATCAGCATTTGTGGATTGATAACAAAGACAGTGTGAAAGAGCACAGAGGAGGCTGACTGTGATCACTCTGTTAGAAGTTACATCCAAGCACTGTCAACTACACAAAGAGAGCATGTTGAATACTGATGTACTGTCAGCTTTTTGCAGCTTTTGATATGATGCTAACAGTCACATACAACAAGTTCTTGGAATGCATTGTTTCAGTTTGTGCTTATCCTACAGGGTTTTTTCTTGACTTATATTTTTGTAATGAAGATGCAGACTTATGTTTAGGAATAATACATGTAAAAGGGAAATACCTGAAAAAATGCAGTGTAGTGATTTACATATGGATTCAAAAGAAGCAGCAATTACTGAAGCATGAAAAGCTTAAACCTCTACAGCTGCACATGCTTTATGAAATGCACATGAGGGTTAACATACTTGTATGGTGCAATACTGTTTGTGATACACATAAATGTTTATGCTGACACACACAATAACCACTGTGGGTGACACAAAAAAGAGGATTTGATTAATTTGATTTTGATTAAGAACACCCCAATGGATGAATATGTGGATAAATAGGTGGTGCAGTTCTGGCAATGGCCGTGTCGGTTCATGTGGCTCATATCATCATTTCTGCTTCCCCAAAGCAATGGAAGTGTGAGCCAGGTACTCCCTGTTGAGGCATTGTGGGACAGTTTTCAGGTGAGCAAGTTCCTCTGGACAGAATGTTGGGCGAGTCTTGAGGGTCAACAGTGTCACAGGTCAGGGGTCAAGGGTTGTGTTCCATAGGGATGGAGGACACAGAGGCGACTGAGGAAGCCTGACACGAGGCACTCGTGGTGGGTGGACTGAAGGTCAGTGATCCATGAGGGTCGACGCACTGCTGCTGAGAACATGAGAGCAAGAAGCAGAGATCATGGATGACATACACTGTGACATATAGGCGCCCAGTGGTTTCACATCGACCATAATGCTCAGCAGCCACCTGTCCACAAGCAGGATAGATACATGTAACATAGGAATACCATGTATGTGTGTGTGTGTTCATGTTAATATAATGTAAAGTAAAAAAAAAAAAAAAAAATCAAGGTAATCTTTAAAACACGTATTTCTTGTATTTTGTGAACTTTTGTGAACAATTATCATATGTAGTAAGATATGTTTCTTTAAAGTAATTACTTTATAGTAGGGGTGGGCGATATATTGATAATACCTGATGTAGCTTTGCTTGGGATGTATAATGATGTTGTGACGGTTTAGCTTTCCACCGACTGCTGTCATCTAACTCAGGGGTCAACAACCTTTGCTATCAAAAGAGCCATTTTTGGCGTGATTTTTTATTTTCTTAATTTGTCTGGAGTCGCAATACATATTTGTGCTTTATAAAAAAGGTAACATAGCCTATTAGGTCTAAATTAGCCTATCAATATTACTAAAAGTACTAAATGAGCAATCGTTAATATGTTTTAGCACAAGGTGGCTACTCTGCAGTGGGCTAAGCATCATTATTTTGTATATATACAGTGCAGCCTTAGCGGCGAAAGCAAACAAATCTGTCCACTCACTATTAAGTTCTCTGTCTTCTTTACTTAATCCTTCTCTACTTCTTACTTAAATACTGTTGTACTTCAGTATAACAGTATTTAATTTAATTTATCATAACAGCTTTGTTTAACTTTATTATAACAGTACTTTATTCAGCTTTATTATAGCAGTTCTTTATTTGACTTCATTATAACAGTACTTTAACTTTATTATAACGTTTCTTTATTTAACTTTATTATAACAGTGATTTTTACTGTTATTAGAACAGTGCTTTATTTAACTTTATAAGAACAATACTTGTAACAGTACTTCAGTGAACAGTATTTTTTTAATCTTATTTTAACAGTGCTTTAGTTAACATAATTATAACAGTGCTTATTTTAACTGTATTATAAAAGTACCTTATTTAACTTCATTAGAAGAGAACTTTTCTGCAACAGTATTTTATTTCATAGTTTAGTATTTTAGTAGTCTGCAGTGATTTTGAGGAGATTTCAGAATATTTGGGATATATATCATGTGCCATGATAACACCTAAAAACAATGTGATAATATTTATAGGCCATATCTCCAGGCCCTATCTTACAGGCCCCTGAACTCTTTACTCAATTTTATTGCAGTATACCTATATAGGAACATTATTCATGTCATGTGCTACACCTTATTTTTGTTATTTGAAGATAAAAAAATCTAAAACATCACTGTAAACACACTGTCTGGCTTTTCTGACTGAGGGCCAGGATGGTAGGGATGTTAATGTTGTAAACAAAAACAGTCACATACTGAATATTTCAGCCAGAGGTGGTTAAACAGACTGAACAGTCTGAAAGAGCTGATACACAGAGGCTGTGAGTTGCCACTCACAATAGTCTAACTATCTCTTAAATGACTGTGACTGTCAGTCCCACAGCAGGGACTAAGTTATCTCAATTCATCCTCTGGAGACGATGGAATGTCTGAACCATACTTCAATAGTTGTTGAGATATTTCAATCAAAACCACAAATTCAAACTTCATCATTGTGCTGGAGGTAAAGTGAGGGGATCATCATAGTCAGTGGGACTCCTCCTACAGGGACCATGATTGTCTGTAAAAATGTCCATCATTCATTTCCAGTAGCTTAATACTATATTTCCCTGTCCCTGGAGTCTGCTGTGACTGTGATGTTGCTTTTACCTGTGAAAGGAGCTGAAGAGACTCCAACCCTCAGCTGTGAGGAGGGAAGGAGGAGCGGCACTGTGGCAGAAGGCTACTGACGATCTGGAAGAGACTGACACTGTTAGACAGACACACAGCACAGACAGACACTGTAAATATTTCGTAATAATCATAGAAGATAATAAAAGCTTGTCCAGAGGGGAAAAGGTCAAGGACTTCACACTTACCCACACATCAGTGAGGTCAGGATGGATTTAGCAGTTATTTTAACTTTTTTTTTTTTGAAAGTCTGTTCTGTTGAAGGGCTATATTGGTACTGGTAAGTGTACTACTCAAACATATAACTATAAATGGATATTATAGAATTAAACATTCCAAGTATAAAATAATGGAGGAGAATGATGATCAATCACCCAATAACAAAATAAGACACACACAGCATTAATATATAGATATTTACAGTATATATTAACATAACACTGTACAGTTAAAGCTTTAAAATACTCGGTATGTACACGTGCATATCAGAAAGCAAACAGGCATCGGACACATTTAGTGGTATGGCGTTTAACAGTCTGGATGTTTGAAGAGCAGGATGTTAGCTCAGAGGTGCTGCTTACAGTACACTAACTCTCAGCATGACCAAGGAAGGTTTGAGTTACAATCAAGTAAAACTGAGAGACAGGAGACTGGAGTTTTAGCCAGACAGACATTTCTTGAAAATGATTTGATTTTAAATGTTGGGATAGAGCCTCAAAGCCACTTTCTCTGGCTATAGCCGGATTAGACTCAAGTTCAAGAAAGACACAAGGCAAAAAGAAGGAACCTACAGTCTAGTCTCGCAGAGAAACCCAAATAGATTTATTTCCCTTAGGTAGGTGGGGCTCCTCATCATTGGTCCATTAACGTCATCAGGGTGTATTTAACTATTCCAGTTCAAACATGGTGGCTTCCTGATTTCAATAAAAGCTACAGTGTATATTTTATACTAGGATTTTTCATGGGTTTTGAAAGCATGAATCATGTTTTGAAAGGTTAAGTATGCATATTCTCCAATACATACAGCACTCTATTGCTTTTACAATTCAAACCCTTCATGGTTTTAATAAAGTTAACCGACAAGTAATTTGCTAGTATTCAAACAACTACAGCTTCCATTAAGGTTTTGCAACACAGCATGACTGCTGGTTTCTCCCTTACCCATGATATCCACCTGGGCTCTCTGTATACTGTAAATATCTCTCCTTTGAAGGATAATGTCTTTCCAACTTTTAAGATTGAATCTCTGCTGTCCAAAAGACATCTGCGCCATTCAAACTTCCCTTTCCTCCTGTTATTACAGCCATATGTGGAGTAGCCACAGCCAACTGACTCGTCTCGGATCCACCTGCAAAGATTTGTGCTTGTGGGGAATGATGTTTTGCTCAATGAACAATGAGTTTACATATGTATCTGAAAAAGGTAATCCTTGTCTAGACTATTGTGGATACTCAAATGGACCCAATGGGACCCAACAGGACCGAGGTGTCATGCTGGGCTCTGACAAATATTTACAAATCATGTCATTCAAGTGACAACACCTGAACGCAACAAATAGGCTATTTAAGTTGAAAAATATTTATGTGAGCTAGCTAACAAAATTTGACAACGCTACCCAAAGCTCAGTATAGTTGCTGGCTACTTTCAAGGTGTCACTTGGGTAATCACAGTATACAGGCAAGCTTTAGCCATGGTAACCGCAACAACAACAGCTTCAGTAACGTTACCTTAACTTCACTGGCCTTGAGTCCAGTTTGGACATAAAACCCAGCATGCGTGTCAGGTTCAAGTTGGGTTTAGTTACTTCTCTTTCAGAAATGGACATAAATATCTGGTCTAGACATTGTTATATACATTCTGTACTGCTGAACAAGGTTACATTATGTTATAGGGCTAGACTTTTAGTCATGTGTGTTATGTGTAACTATGACTGGGGTTTTCTTACATCTACAACAGAAGTCAGGAGAGACATTCTTACTCCATACTTACCCCTAACCCTGCTGAGGAGAACCACTGACAATGGTGAGAACAATCTAGGCATTTACCTGCACTTGGATTTTGCATTTTAAGGAATTTTAGCTTTTTTGGTCTTATTTATCATTTTATCTTCAATTCTAATGGCTACAAATCACATTGTTACAAATAAGATGTATTTTCACTCCACTGATGCCAAGCTTGGAAATATATGGTACTTTGTGAGCAATGACCGCTTCAGTTTCTTCCACTGACAGACCAACCTTGAGGAGGACCACATACATGAGGTAATGTGAACCCATTTGGTTTCCTGTGTGGCTCCTGCAATCTTGATGTACAAAGGTTTCTTGTTTATCTAGTTAGTATAGCTGCCCTATAAAAAAAAAATTATCCTAGAGCTCTTCCAAAATACGGTCACAAACTAAGGAGGGGGAATATGCCATGTGTTTAAGTTAGACCCTTACTTATACCTCTGACTTTCACCTGTTATTCAAATCAAGTTAGCCGTATGAAGGAGACTTTAGCAGGAGAGCTAATCTGAGTTGTTTTTCAAAGTTTGTGGCTCTTGTGTTACAGCCTGCATCAGGCTGCTGATATGTAGACACAGCTGAAATTTTGACTTTACACCTGTTCCTGACGAGGTGTAAGATTTAGTTAACTATTAGGTTGGACTTGCCAAATGCCAAGGTAACAACCAGCTTGGCTTAAGACCAGAAGTAAGCCCTGTTGGTGCAACCGGCCCCTGTTTCTGGTTCAGCATCACTAAGGTTGAACCCAGTTCAATAAGACCAGCTCTGCTGCTTGATGAAATGTCTGTTTGGAAAAAACTCCTGCCATTTGACTGTTATAAAGTCAGTATGTTCACCAAAAAATAAGGGCTACTTGCTTCAAAGCAATATTGGAACATTTTTGGGAAAACAATCAAAGAATCTGTGAACTTAATACTGTCACCAAAATAATATAAGGGGAAGTATATCAAGGAGACTGAACAAATACCTTTAACATTGTGATAGTTCTCTCCAACCGTACTTAACTTTTCTTTTATACCTACTTTTAGCTGTATTATTCACTCCAGAGATGGCTGCTAATGTTAGTACACCAATCAAACTGCAGCCAGGCTGGCAAAGCTATCATGTGTATGTTGCATGAAATCTCTTCCTTTGGCTGCCATCTGAGAGAAAGCCCACAGAGATCACTCTGTAACAGTATATAAATGAAACTGCACAACTGGTTTTCCAGTCAGTGTACCATGGGGCAGATAACAACATTTGACAGACTTTAATTTGTCTCTCAAAGGTTAAATTTTCACTTGATCAAAAGATGGTATTTTAGCGGAAATCTGGGAGATATGTGTGTCAGTGTTTTTGTTTGTCCGTTTAGACAGAGCAAGGGAATCACAGAGAGGAGATCACAATGGTTTCCTTCTTTTACCTCAGCCAAAATACAGGTTACACCCACAGAAGATGCTAACATGCCTTCAATTTGAGTCCACCCATGAATCACCTCAGTTTTGCCTCAGCTAATAAAACATTGGATGTCCATTTGAGATGTAAAATGACAACAGATTCCACCAATTCCACGTGGTTGCGGGTGTGTTATTAGTGTTCGTTAAGGGACCATACTGGTGATTTAGCTAATTTTCACCATAAACTGATCAACATCACTGCTGACAATTTTCAAAATTGCACTGTGGTGTTTAAAATTTGAGAAAGTTTTTCCTGCTTCCCAAGCAGCCATTATTTTTCATCTCACTAGTGTGTTACAATCAACTTTTCCACGCAGTAACAATGTAACTGTCAGCAATGAATGCTGACATGATGTTCTTCATTATTGTCTCTTTTATCACTGTCATTTAAGTCACTGAGCAGCTACTAACATTTGTAAACATTTGTAGAATGTTGGAAATACAAACACTGTAAAATCTGACAAGTTGATTAAAAGAATGTAATATAACTGTAAATAGTAGTAAATATAACTGTTAGTCTTAAGCTGTGTTAACTTAATATCTAAATGCTTGTTTACTTCAAATTTAGCTATATTTACTTAATTTTGTAAAGTTGTTGTAGCTTAAAAATAAAAAGTGAAAGTAACTTGTTCTTTCTAAGTGTTAGCAACTTTAGTAAATCAAGTTAGTTTGGCTTAAGTGAACAGTTGAATGTGTTTTGTGTCATGACAAAAAATATTTTGCATGTGGTAGAGTTTGGACATCTGCAAGGTCTGCTTTGTTAACATTTTTAGAATATGTAAATATTATTGATGGTTTGCAAATAGCAGAATACCAATACATAGCATAATGTAAACACCTAAAGTTTTTTTGTTTAGAACAGTTCAATATAATATGCATACTTAGATTATATATTTAATTTAGCTTGCAAGTTGGCTTAAGATTGATTGAATATTGGTGTTTGTGACAAAATAGTGCCACACCGTCCTGCTGAAATCATGAGTCAGTGGGAAAGATTTAGTCCAACAACAAACTCTGGCCCTGCCTTAAGATGTGCAGCTTGGCGTTAAGATAAAAAATAATCCTAAAAACTAATCCTTCCTTGTTGTACTTACTTCATTTATCTAACTCAATCAGTGTCCTTAATTCTACAGAGTTAAAACAACTGTTTAGTTAAGTCTGACTAACTTGGTTTACTTAAGTTGCTAACACTTTGAAAGAACAAGTTAATTTCCACCCAATTAATTTTTGAGATGCACAAACAACTTCCCAACATTAAGTAAATACAACTAAAATTTCAGTAAACCTAACAATGACATATAAAGTAAACATAACTTAAGACTAAAAGTTACAATTACTTTTCTTCTTCAAGGCAGTCAGTTTCCTAGAAATTTTTAAAGTAGAATTAACTCGACAGATTTTACAGTCAACTCACCGCAATGCACTTGCACAACGCTGAACAAACTACATTATGTGAGTGCATTTACTACATTGAGAAAGGTCTCCAGCCATTACTGGTAGCACTGAACACTGCAACCAACAGCACTGCAAATGTTCACACCATGTGAAGTAAATGGAAACCAGCAGCCAAGAGTAAAGAAAAACATAAACCAAACAGCATTCTTTCGAAAATGGTCAGCAGTAA